TAGAGGAAACTATTTAACTTAGAGTTGCACCCGGTTTGTAAGGAGCCGGCTAGAGCCAAGAAGACGTATAATAGAAGGTAACAGTTATCAGTTGGTGGCTTCATTCTTTTTAAGAACACGAAACTTCATTAGATGATCAAGATAACAACCATCTAAGCCACTTAAACAAGTTACATAAGTACAGAGCACTAATTAGTTTTTGCAATCCAGGAGGATATCTTCTTCCATTGTTGTGCCCATATTCAGGTTTAGGTACTACTTTCTATAATTACATGTTTTAGTATTCTGGCAACTTTGAAATATGCACAGGAGAGATTTCCGATCTTCGCAGAAGGTTTGAGGGTGACTTCTTTCTTGTCTTAATTATAATTTAGTTTTCTATCGAGTACATTCTTTTCTTCTTTTTTTTTTCCTTAGTTTTGCCCAACTCATTTCAAATTTATCATTCAATTTTTCTTTATATAACGCAGTAAATTAGTAATAAAAAAAAATACACTTGCTCATGCTCAAATCCCCAATGTATGAAATTTATTCCTCTATGATATCTTCAATTTGGTTTATTTTACATAATTCACCGTCTCTCATTGTCAGTAGTAATGTTGCACGAAATCGGTCTTGGTCTTGCATTTTGCAAGACCAATACCAACACCGCCTTTCTGTTGCAAGACCAAAACCAAGACTGGTAAAAAAAGTCGATTTTTTGAATAAAAATTTAGGCAAAATAATTACTAATACTTGACAGGTTTATTTACTATATGTACAGAAGTGGTTTAACCAATATACTTTTGCATTTAATTCTTCTAATTTTTCATTCAGACTCAGTAAGGTTTCTCATATCTAAAAAATTACAGTAATATTTCTCCAGTAATACGCTAATAGGTAACTGCAAGACTGTTACAAGAGTCTTGCGCTACACCAAGACTGAGTTTGTAAGACCAAGACTTTTCTCGGTCTCGCATTTGGGCAACACTAGTCAGTAGGAATAAAAATGGCTAAATGTAAACTTTGAAAGAGTTCGATAAATGACTTAATTTTGGAAAAAAATGTGTTTTTAGTAGGAAAATGAATTTTCAGAAATAATAATCAGAATATAATAGTATAATATAGTATAATAGTATAATATATCATTGGAAACCTGTAGATTAAAAAAAAATCTAACATAGTCGTAGAAGGCAATGGATAGTGAAGGTAAAACTATAAATAATAATTTATAAAAACTATTATTATTTTAAAGGAAGGAGATGGTCCGAGGGCGGTCATAAATAGGCTAAATAGTGGTAAAACTATTTTATTGAAAGCCGACGTTTCGACCCGACTTTGCAGGTCTTCTTCGACTTTCTCAGTTCTAAGTGAAACTCCTAGCGAACACACTTCCCTGAAGAAGACCTGCAAAGTCGAGTCGAAACGTCGGCTTTCAATAAAATAGTTTTACCACTATTTAGCCTATTTATGACCGCCCCAGGACCATCTCCTTCCTTTATAATGCAACGGTCAACTATTAAATATTCAATATTATTATTTTACGAAAACCAAATATTTCTATGGAAACTAAATTAAATTCTGTAACTCAATGTAAACTTTTAAATTTATTTTGAAGTATATATAATCCAATAAATCAAGGCAATGCAATGACATTGTTTAAAAAAGTATATAGAATTTATACTAACCCATTTATAAATTAATACCTGACTTCCCTCCAACTTCGAGGCTAATCCAATGATTTTTTTAAAAAATGCATTCCTATAAAGATGGAATGGATCTTTAGTAAAATTGATAATAGGCCATTTTTACATTATTCTCAAGTTTCATCCAACTTAAAGTCAAATGAGACGAGCTGTTTTTGAAATAACACAACAAACGATTATAAGCGTGTTCAGGAAAATACATTTGCTTATTCTTAGGGGAATGTGGTGGACCACCATTTGGTACCAGCACACACTCTCCAAAAATTACACCTTAATCAGATTTATGTTACTAGCCGTTATACTTGTCACGTGGATTTGACAACCCATCGAGGGCATGATGTCCGAAAGTTAGGTCCTGGCACGGGCGGATCTACTGAGGGGGGGGGGAGGGGGGCTTTCGGGCTGAAGCCTCCCCAAAATGGTAAAACATAACCATGTTTTATAGAAAAAAAAATTTAAAAATACTTCTTAAAGTATTATTGTTCGTGTAATTACAATTAAAAGGACTTAATGAATCACTTAAACACCATTTCATATAGGTAGTTAGTTTCTTTCTGTTTTTCCAATTTTTATGAAAAAAAAAAGCTTCCGGGCTGAAGCCCCCCCCCAAAAAATTAAATTCTGGATCCGCTAGTGGGTCCTGGGAAATGCAACTGAAATAGAAACGTGATATTTGACAAATTATATGTGATTAAGTATTGTTCTATGACGTTCGGGTTGACAGGATCCACAACACTAAATAACAAGGTGAATTTCCGCCATGGCCAGATGATTGGAGGACGAATTGCCTTGAAAGAGAACGATCTTAGGATTGCGTGACTTAAAGTACCTTTTTTTTTTTTTTACATTTACACTATTATTATTGATAATTGTGTCTCTATTTTGAAATAAACTATCAAAAAACATTTGAATGCTTCAAATCAACAAAACTTCATAACCAAGTTTAAGATTGATAGAAGGCACTGCCAATTACTGGATTATGGTAACTGTTGCAGAAAAGAAAACAAATAGAGTATTATTATGAGAAAAAAAAAATAGTCCAATTCCTACCGTATCCATCCACCAATTTAGGAAACCCATTTTACAGAGGCTGTGTGAGCACCACGTAGTCCTTGAAGCAGTAGTCGATCCTCCTCTGACTATTTGACAATATACGAGGATTCCCGAATCGAATCGAATAAAATCGAGATAGAATAAAAGAGCTGAAATTTAGTGGTCTATTTCCTGGTTATTGTCCTATTTACCTTGGTGTTGGATAGTCCCAGATTAGACCTTGACTTTTTTTTTATATAATCATTTTTTATTAATTTTTTAATATATTTTTCTTCCGTTCTAAATTTAAGGAATAAACAAGAAAAGAAATGCCAAAAAAATTGTTTTAAATGCAAGGATTAGTTTTTTGTCTCATCCCTCCATGGTCATTGGCAAAGCCATCTTATAGAAATTTTCCATCTGATTTGGTGTTAGATCCATTTTGTCCATCGCATCAATAAACACATTAGTATCTGAAGATATTTTGAATAATGTCATTTTCAAATTTCAAGATATTTAGCTAAAAACAAAAAATATTATTATTGTAGCAATTTTTATCAGTGAATGTATAATGAAAAACTAGACTTATTTTACTCCCCACTTTCAGTCGATTCTGTCTAATTCTTTGATTGAATTTTTGAATAATATGAATTTAAAAACTGGAATAATGTGCTATAACATAAAAATGTTTACATACAATACCTTAAATTATGACTATAATTTTATTTATATTGGTTATAATAATAAATACCTATTTAAAATATTTCTTTATCCAATTTGAAGTTTAAAAAAAAAAACTTCTACATGCCAACCTCCAACAAACAAATACATTTGAATTTATATATAATATATTTTACAATTTTCTCAAAAACGGCTCTAATGATTTAGATTAAACTCAGTTTATCAATGTATAATTAAATTTCATTTAATATCAAATAGGTTTTATTCTCAATTTCACTTAACAGGGCTTAATTATAAAATTCCCAATGTATGAAATTTATTCCTCTATGGTATTTTTAATTTGGTTTATTTTACATTATGTACCGTCTCTCATTGTCAGTAGGAATAAAAAATGGCTGAATATAAACTTTGAAAGAGTTCGATAAATGACTTAAGTTGGGGAAAAAATATATTTTTAGTTGGAAAATGAATTTCCGGAAATAATAATTAGAATATATATATATATATATATATATATATATATATATATATATATATATATATATATATATATATATATATCATTGAAAAGCTGAGCATTTAAAAAATAAATCTAACATAGTCGTAGAAGGCAATTAATAGTGAAGGTAAAACTATAAAAAATAATTTTTAAAAACTATTATTATTTAACTAAAACCAAATATTTCCATGGAAACTAAATTAAATTTTCTAACTCAATGTAAACTTTTAAATTTATTTAGAAGTATATATAATCCAATAAATCAGGGCAATGACATTGTTTAAAAAACTGTTTTATTATACTTGTGTGAAAGAAAAAGTGAAATATAAAAACATTTCATGTCTGAGTAAAACCTTATAAAATACGTTTATAACCTTAAATACATTTACCGAAGTTTAATAATTATGCACTTTAAAAACTTTAAAATAACCAACTTAGAAAAATAATTTCAGTTCAAAATAGGGGATAAATGATGTGTGATACCGCACCAAATTTTGATAATTGGATTGCATACAATTTTCTTAATTCAATACTGCTTCTAATATACTTAATTGTGGAATTCAAGCATTTCTTCAAACAATCTTTTATAATTTTCGATGTTTTGTCAAAAGAATTCTTGAACGTTTGCTACATCAATTTTAATTTTAATAAAACTTTAAATGACAATGTATCAGCAATAATATTAAAACTAGCTATTTGTAATAATCACAGCATTAAAATTAAATCCACAGAACTTATTAATTCGAATTCATTAATGTCTTTTTTATTCAATAACTCATTAATATACATTCTTCTAAAACAGGAAAGCGGCCAATATAAATTTAATTCGGGATAAACTGATATTGGAGAAGATAACAGACCAAAGTTTTCGGTGACTGTTTTAAAATATTCAAAATCAAATCATTATTAATGTGGTTCAAAAAGAATTATTGTAATTACTAACAAGATTAAATTAAAGGCTCAATCAACAAGAAATACATTTTGCCTTTCTTTCTACACTTGATTATGTTATATCTTGATATGTTTCAACTATTTTATTTGCTCTCTAGTAATGAAGTCTAATTATTAACAATATTATTCTTTACTAAGAATTCGTACCTTACTTTGCACAGCCTCTGAGATAGATGGAAGGTTCTTTCCTCACGAATGGCAGTTCCCAGACTAACCCCTCTCTGGAAATAAAGCTACTAAACCAGTAGCTGAATTCGGATAATCTTATTCTCACGGATGTAACGATTTTACGAATTTACAGCATTTATAAAATTTTTCGAAAAATCTTATTGGTCAAAGGAGCATCAAAGGAGCTAATTAAACTCATTCTTTCATTTGGGACTAATATCATGGTTTAATGCATAATGGGCTCCATCCATGAAAAGATGTTTAATAAATTTATTTTGTAATATGGTATTATTTTATGCATACGATATTATAACTATAGTCAAGATACCTTTTGCATCGACAAATATGTACTTAAAATTTATCACTATCAAAAATTAATTTATGATTTTTAGAAATAAACTGATGATACATATCACCAGCGCCATGTTAAAAAAACGAATGTATAACGTTGAGCAGGTTCACATGGTTGCTTAAACATGGTGTCGAAGAAATGATCTGTGCCATTTCGGTTATTTTTATATTTTGTTACTGAGCTTCCAATGCTAAAGGACCGCGGTTCGAATCCCGGCTCATGGCAGAAAAATTATTTATTCTGTTTCACCGGCCATGGGACGACCCTAGGTCGGGAGACCCTCCTGGGGCACATCCAGTCTCTATAAGTGGATACCGTTATTATAGCAAAACCTTATCTCTGTCAAATCACTTCCTTGCACAACCTTTGACCAAGAAACAGTACTATAGCTAGTTTGGAGGGCTACAGCCCGAAATCCTCCCCCCTTGTAGATCCGCCCGTGCCACATAAATGATCAATTTGGACTGGTGAGTTGTCATTAAAAATAATCTTTGTGTTATGAAAATATTCAAGAAAACTTATTTTCGAAATTATAGATGGTTGGCGTATTACATTTACAACTAGACAAAACCAAAGACTTGTCCATGAAAGCTACAGTGCTATTTTTTATCAATATTGTCTGGAAATAACAGTTTCTGTCAAAACTGTTTAAATAGTATAAATGTGTGAAGTTACAAATACAGTAGCGGGGATAAGTGGGTTTCCGAGCGAAACTTACTGAACACGGTATAAACATCGATCCCTTATACCCAAATTTTGGGATATTGGAGACGTTTATTAGGATTAATTAATTGATGTTATTTGTTATTGTATATTCTACCTGCAACAGTGTTACTGGCAACACTGTCAGATGTGATGTCAGTGATCACAACAATGTATACTCCCTCGATATGGCTTCTATGTTTGTAGTGTTCTTCTACAATAAACGTTTCTGTATTGTCTGTGTTTGTTTCATAAAGAAACCCTAACCATTATTAACAACGTTGCCGGAAAACTGATGAACTAAAGATTAAGAGTTCGATTTATTCTTAGTTTCCTTACACGCTTCCTCCCTCTTGTGGCATTCAAGGCGTAGATCTTCTGCGCCTAAGGTTATAATCGCCTAGACCAACGGAACTTTTCCATTCATACATAAAATCCTTGTAATATGGTACGATCGCAACGATAGTTCTGTACAGTGACCAGCTGAGGACAATCATGTTTTGAGGTTATAGCCTCGGATTTGATTCAACATTACGATCTACGAAGGTGTGCCCAGCAATCGCAGGAAAACCACAGCTAGGGCATAAAAGACCAATGTCTATTTAAAGGCCATGAAGCTTGTCTGGAACTCCTCCGTGAGAATTGCGTGCACTGAGAGAAATGGCCATAGCCTGAAATCCTGGAAAGTCCACTTCGCTTCCAAACAATGAGGAAGTACCTACTGAAAATATATCCTTTCAGGTTTGTCACCTTCTAATGTTTCCATTATTCCTTTGAATCCTCTGTAATAATGTTTTTTCCATTTGCTGGGAATCTCGTCAATCCTCACCTTTAGACTTCCTGGAGTATCTGCTGGGCACCTTAGTACCTGAGTCCCTGACTAGTTATATTTCAACTTATCTTCCCCCAGGAGGAGGTCGAGAGGCATCTCTTTATTTCCTACTTGTCATTTACCACTATGAAAATATGGAAATCAACATTGAGAGTGAAAAGTTAGATTTTGGAGTAGATTGGAGATTTTAAAAATATAGATTCTCAATTCAATGAAAGTGCACATATCAAGAAGAAGTTAAGGTAACTAAAAGGAGATGCAGAGAGGATGTTTTTCATGGTCTTGCTAGACTTCTTCAACCAAAGAGAGGTTTCAAAGAGAATTTTTTTGTTTTGTATTTTTCACCCTAACTAGGAATTCTGGCATATAAAAATAAATAGCTATTTACAAATCAGTTTCCATTCATATATTTTCCTGGTTCTTCCTGGGATCTCAAATCTCACAAAAACCAGTTTCAGTCCCTGGAAATGAGATACCTGCAGAAAGTAAAACCAGCTAAGACAGGATTCACAATACTGTCATCTGAGCCGATATCAAAGATGGCACCAGCAGAAACCAAGCTAAAGGAATATGGATTAGCTGTGGCACCTTCTCCACACAGATAAAAGCGAAATAGTAAGAAAAAAAGAAGAGACACACATTCGGAAAAGAAAATCCTCATCTCCTAAGAGGGTGGCATGAGGGATGTGTTACAGAAATTATTGGATTGGGTTTGAGATTTTGGACTGGAGCAGAAGAGGTCCATTTGATCTAGACTCTATAAAGGACAAAAAACTCAAACTGCTTAAGTGGCAGGAAAGAAATTGGAATATGACTATAGAGATAATTATCTTTTTTAGTTTTATAAAAATAAAATATTTGAAAATTTGTTGTTTTTAAAATATTTTCATTATTTATTTTTTTTATTAAAAATTATGATATTTTTTTTATTTATTTGTTTTTATTGTTGCTTCTACCCTGTAGGCTCATTCTTATTCACTTCTTATTCATACTCTGTTGTAGAGTTTTATAATTTTTAAAAATTGCAAGGTTTTTTTGTTGTCAGTGATGTTTTCTTTTAGACCCTGAGCCATATTCAAATTTGTCCTTATATTCATAAATACTGGCAGTCTTGGATGATATGTTGGACTGTTCTTTGCACCTTACAGCTCTCGCAAGTCGGTGGGTCTAGTCCTCTTAGTAAATAGGCATGTAAAAATTCACAATGCCCAATTCTTAAGCGGCAGTGGACTGTCCCTTCTTTTCTGGAGAGTCGGTTTTTTTTATATATATTTATTCCTACGCCATTTTTTCCATATGAATTTCAATACTAAGTCATAATCTAAATAGGAAGAAGGGTTTGTATTAGCAATCAAATGAAAAAGTAAAGAAAACATCCTATTAACTTATGGAAACAAAATGAGATTTTTTTTTTTTGAGAACCAAAACCATTTAGTAGATCGAATCATCAAAGTTGCTGCTCCATGTAGCAAACTGAAAAAAATTAGTCCAAGACCTGCAAGTTCTGTAAAGCCAATAAAAACAAAAGGTTAAATACATTTTAACAAAATTAATATCTAAATTAATTAAACAACTGAATGAATAACTAAAAGTAAAATAAATCTCTTTGAAATGAAATGAAACCTATTTACTACTCATAAAACTAAAAAACTAATATAATCATTCTAGAACTTGGAAATTATCAATATGGTTTGTTTTAGTCTACCGAAAAAAAAAGGTTACAGAACAATTCATATTTTGTTGTGAATATATTTACTACTAAATATCTAATAGGAATAGAGGAACCGTGTGTTTGAGCAACTCAACACAAAGTAATTTATCTTCTTAGAGCAATTAGTTGATCAATTCTAGTTTGAGAATTTCTGTTAACATTTTGATTACTAATAAGCATTGCAAGAATATAATACAAATATCTTCAAATTCATGGAGATGGTGTTATTTATTTATGTATATAAATGTAAATGTTAATTAGTGTTACTGTAGATAATCATAGATTTAGTCTCTGAGGAAGGTGATAGAACACAACACTTCCATTAATTTTATTTTATCCTAAAAAATAAGATATTTCATTTGTTTTTGTTGTGTTTTTTTAGGAGGGGGGTGGAGAGATTATTCTGAATCTTCAAAATGCCAGAATTAAAAAAAAATTGTATATGAATAAATATTTAGGAATGAAAGAAAATTTAATCATTTAAAAAATAACATATATGCAGAGCATTCTAATGTATAAGAAACAGCAATTACAAAAATAGCTTATAAAGAAACCCAATAGTAAAAAAAAATGAAAATGTATCACATTTTTTTTAATGTTGAATAAAAGATAAAATTAATATTCAGACATTGTAACATAGAATATAATTTAAATAATTAATATGTTTAGTTTGTTTGTTTGTTTTTTTTTAGCAAAAATAGTTTTCATTTTTCTGAATTCCAGTAACTTGGTTCTGACTTCATCAGTAATTTTTGTTTTAATATGATTAAGTATTAATTGATAAAGATCAATGGTTCTCAAACATTTTTTGCTGTTAAACACTTGTTGATCTAAAAATATTTATGGCATCCTTGTTGGACTAATTTACAATTTAGAACTTATATATTAAATATTCTTGCCCTGGCACCCCCGCCATATTTCTGGGACACCAAGTTTGGAATCACTGATATGGACAAATACCTGCTTATTATATAATTTGTTTAAAACTTTAAATTAAATAATATAAATTAAAATAATTAATTAAGGACAGGATAATTATTATATATCTTGACATTTTTATTTTGACTTTTTATGTGATCTACAATTTTACATTGAAAAGAAGTTTATTAATGTTAACTAGTGATGCAAAATATATTACAAAATTATTTTACACAATATATATATATATATATATATATATATATATATATATATATATATATATATATAATATATATATATATATATATATATATATATATATATATAATTTATTTTATATTTTTTATCATATTGATATCATTTAAATTTTTTATACTTCACATTTTAGATTTTATTTTATTTGACTTTGTTAAATTATTGATACCAATAAATTCCAAAAATAAATTCAAATGATCCATGTATTCTTCTTGATGATAATGATAATGTCCAATGTGTCGAGATTTA